GATCCACCCTCGCATTAGTCCTCGGAGCAAATGTCACAACGCATCGTTGCAACAGTTAACAAAACGAAGTCAATACAATTCCTTTTCAAAAATAAAAGCAAACAAATATAAAGAGGAAAATAGTTTGTAAAAGTAAGAGTATGTTTTTAAAAAATCCTTATCTTAAAAACTTTTGCTGAACTAATTCAGTCGAAAGGAGCCAGGAATCGCCTCAGATTGCACCACAGAGCATCTAGAATCCAAAATTTCCCGAGGCCCTTAAGCAGGCCCCAGACCACACGCCGTTAGGGCTTCTCGCTCCGCGCTCGCATTAATTCTCGGAGCAAATGATTTTTTTTTTTACAACAGTGTGCCCCCCGTCTAAAAAATTCCTGGATCCGCGCCTGTATACTATCCATTGTGAGTTCAGTTTATGATCCGTTGGGAATGGTCAGTGCTGCCATTATGCCTGCCAAGTTGCTGCTTCAGGATCTATGCAGATTGAAGTTGAACTGGGATGAGAAGATTCCTCAAGAACACCTGCACAAATGGAACCTTTGGCTGATGGACCTACCCAAACTAGAATGCATCTCAGTAGATGGATGCTTCAAGCCTGAAGGCTTTCAGGATCCTGTTAGTGTGCAGATCCATCACTTTGCCGATGCCAGTGAGAAAGGGTATGGCGTCGTCAGCTACCTGAGACTACAGAACAGATATGGAGATGTTCATTGCTCCTTTGTTACATCCAAATCAAGAGTGACCCCGTTGAAGCAGCAATCCATACCCAGACTTGAACTTACAGCAGCCACTGTAGCAGTGAGAGTACACAACTCGATAGTTAGAGAGCTGGAGATCCCTGTTGACCAGACTTTCTTCTGGACAGACAGTATGACCGTCATCAAGTATATCTGCAATGAGACGACAAGGTTCAAGTCTTTCGTGGCTAATCGACTTACAGTGATAAGGGACAGTTCTCATCCATGTCAGTGGAAGTATGTGAGATCAGAACAGAATCCAGCAGACGACTGTTCAAGGGGACTTCCCATCGACAAGTTCATTGCCAATAGGAGATGGTTCCGAGGACCAGAGTTTCTCTGGCATGCAGAAGCAGATTGGCCTTCAACTTGCGTGACCGAGGAGCCAGAAGTAGATCGGGACCCAGAAGTAAAGCGTGTCATGGCGGCAGTTCCGATTGAAAATCTGCTGAGTCGGTCAAATGCAGTTAAGAAGCTGATAGAATACTACTCAGATTGGAATCGTCTGAGGAGAGCCGCAGCATGGTGGCTACGGTTAAAGAGAATCCTGAGAAAGAGAAGCAAAGAAGAATTCAAACATGACGCTGTGAACAACCTTACAGTGGAAGAAATAGAAGAAGCTGAAGTGAGTATCTTGAGATGGGTTCAGCATGAGGCATTTCCTCACCAGATAAAGAGGCTTCAAGAAATGAATGATGGCCCTCAAGATCTCACAAGGGAATCTTCAAAACAGCAGAAAGTGGATAAGCTGTTAGACCAGTTAGACCCAGTGATGCACAAGAGCTTGATGAGGGTCGGCGGTAGGTTACAAGCCGCTCAACTCCCAGAGGAAGCCAAGCATCAGATAATCCTGCCACAAAAGTGCCACGTGACAGACCTGATTATGCAACATACACACCAAAAGATTCACCACCAAGGCAGAAATCATGTACTTGCAGAGCTGCGCCGGAGATATTGGATTTTGAAGGCAGGAGTGGTTTTGAAGAGTGTGTTGAAGAGGTGCGTGATTTGCAAGAAAGTCCAAGCTAAATTGGGTCAGCAGAAGATGGCAAACTTACCCGCTAACAGGCTGCTATCTGAGAAGCCAGCCTTCACTAGCACCGGAATAGATTACTTTGGCCCCTTCAATATCAAGCAGGGCCGCAACATAAAGAAGCGGTATGGAGTAGTATTTACCTGCTCGACCAGCCGAGCAGTTCACATTGAGATTGCAGAGAGCCTAGACACAAGCTTGTGCATAAATGCAGTGAGACGCTTCATTGCCAGAAGAGGAAATATAAAAGAGTTGATTTCCGACAATGGTACCAACCTCGTGGGTGCTCATGCAGACTTGAAAAAGGCGATGAGCGAGTGGAATCATGAAACTCTTGAGAAATTCGCAACTGATTGTGGTATCACCTGGAAGTTCAACCCGCCAGCAGCTTCACACTTTGTCGGCATCTGGGAACGCCAAATCCGTACCATTCGGAAGATACTACAAGCCATGTTGAATGAGCAGCATATGAGAGTGTGTAGAGATGAGGAACAGCTCAGGACCTTGATGTGTGAAGTTGAGTACACAATTAACAGTAGACCGTTAACCCATGGGTCTGATGATCCTAAGGATTTGAACGCCATCACTCCCAATGATTTGCTCTTGCTGAGACCGAGCAGTCTATACGTCGCACCACCTGGTGTTTTCTCAGAGAAAGATCAGTATGCGAAGAGGCGATGGCGCCAAATGCAGTATTTGGCAGATCTGTTCTGGAAGCGATGGTCTAGAGAATACCTGATGGATCTTCAACAGCGCCAAAAATGGTTGTACCCTCAGAGGAACCTATACCCTGGTGATGTGGTGTTAGTTGCTGACAATCAAGCACCGCGCAGTTCGTGGCCCCTTGGAATAGTGGAAAAAACCTATCCTGACAAGAATGGATTGATCAGGAGTGCTGAGGTAAAAACAAGAAATCATTCAAAACTTGAAATCATCGCAAGACGATTCCGGACATTCGACGAATTGTACTCATCCTAATGGAAGTCTCCGTGAATGTTATGTCTTTTAAAGTAATTTAAGAATGTTCAGCATACGCTGTACAGTTATACTCTACTTGTTGAAAAGACATTGTTTTACTTAGTACAAGTGTTTGCCTTTTTCCAAGTTGTTAGATGTGTCCTTTTTGTTTTGATGAAATCTCACTTTCTTAAAGCTTTTCTTGTGAAGCATGCAAAGACTGATGTTATGATAACTTATAAACTTGTTTGATGAGTCTTTATTCTTATTGTTACAGGGATGCATGAATAGACACCATTTGCTGGAGTTACACCTGTGTGCACTCTGTATTCAGTGCTTCGGTTGACAAGTATCTAGTATTCTACAGTTTTCTTTTTAAAGCAGAAACGATTGCTGCAACTAGTTCTATTTTTAAAGTGCGTTTAAATTAGTGCCTGAGTCTTTTTTATAGTTTTCATGATTTGAGGTAATTGTATGTTCGTTACATAACAAATAAGGGGCTGGAATGTTGAGGCCAGTCTTCTGCGCGCTTCTGGTTTGCGTACTGCGCGCACTTACGCGTTCTTAATCAGTTTCAAATGTTACGCGTGGCAAGTACTTGTTTCAGTTCGTTCGCCACGGCCAGCTAGACAACAATTTTCTTTTACCGTTCTCTATTGTTCTCTCTCATTTTCATGGAGTTGTTCATTTTCTAAGTTGAATCTACATGTACATCTGTGATGCCTGTTCTGAGGTATGTAATGACACCTGCAGTATGAACAATAAACCAACTGTTAATCATATAGACAGGTTTCTAGCATCGATAATTCTAGAAACTATAGGTCCGATTGAGATCGCGTTATTGGAAATCGGCGGCCTGTGGCAAAATGTGGGGAAATAGAATTTGAACCCTACAATCGCGATGTTTGAAGCAATGCATCGATCCTTCGTTGATCCCAGACAGGCCCCCGAAATTATAACGCAAAACTGTGGCGGGCAGCGAACTCACAACGCTCAGCCTTGGTGGAAGCATGGAGCTGTATTAACACACGATGGAAGCAACAGAGCACTATACACGTCACATGCTTGTGCTTCAAATCATGCAAATAGCGAGCACCGTAGACCCAACCTCGTTTCCAGGGTGTGGAGCAGGCTGTAGTACGCGTTGCCATCGACAGTTTTGCATAGCCCGGAAATACTACGCAGTGTAGACTTTCGATTGGTCAGACCGCGCAAGGCATACTTAATGTGTAGTCCTTCTGAGTATTCGTTGCACTCGGCGCAGGGGCGGCAAGCGAAGCATATGAAAGAATAGGGGCACTTGGTGGCCACGCACCATGGAGAAAAAATATTTTACCAAGGTCACCCCATACCACAATTTGGTGAACGCTTTTGCAGAACGGCCGAGTAGAACACGTAAACGGAACCCCTACGTTGACCTCGCTGACCTCGCACAGTCTAGACACGCAGAAAAGCCAGGACAGGGGGCGGCCAGGTAGTCAACGTGAAAGCGCACACGACGGCAAATTCCTGCGCAAAATGCAGTCACGAAAAATAGACGAAAAGGATCGCCGGTCCGTACGGGAAAATCAGGACGACCCGAAGTGTCCGACCCGGCGGAAGACACCCTCCGCATTTTTCCACGGACGTGGAGCGATTTTGGCGCAGCGGGAGCCCGCGGTCTCGGATCCTTTCATGAGCAAACATCGTCTCGGAGGCCGAGTTAAACTCTCTCTTATATATATAGATTATATGTGAGGTGTTCTGGCAAAATGAGACAGAACTGGGCAGAGGTCAAATACGGCTTCTTGCACTACAATTGGACATTCCTTTGACAAATTATGGCAGTTTAAAGTTCGTATTTATCGACATGCTAATACAGTAAAATACTGAGAAAAAGGCATTTAAAGTTTTGAGTTCGTGAAAATGAAACGTGCCAAATTGGTTTTCTTGAAAAACACTATTATTCCACGACTTTAATACTATTTCTTGAAGTAGACATAACAAACATTACTAACACCAATAATCAGAAAATCGGGGGAAAAAAATCGGCCCCATTTGGGTTTTTGCTTTTTTTTTCAATACGGCCTGTGCCCAGTTCCATCTCATTTCGCCAGAACGCTTCACATATCTGCGGAATAGTACTTGCACGAGAGCAAGTAGGCAAAAGTGCATAGAAACAGGTTTTTTTGTGAGACCACTCTTGAAACTTGTTCAGTTTACCAAAAATACCAAACATTAGTGAGACAAAAGTTTCTTTGATGCCTAACTGAAATTTCTCCTACATTTGTATGCAGCTGGGACCAGATGGCTGAGTATGATCTGCCAGCTATGGTTGACCTGGCCCTGGAGGTCAGCGGTCAGGATCAGCTGTATTATGTCGGACACTCACAGGGCTCCCTCATGGCATTTGCTGGACTGTCCAAGAACAAAGAACTGGAAAAGAAAGTAAGTTTTTTTTTATTAGAAATTCGGATGTGAAGTTTCACAACCCTTTTTTTTTGCTGGGGGAGTGGGAAATCCAAAAATCCAAAAAGTTTTTGTGAGTGAAATTTCATTTCTACATTTCTTTACTTTTTTTTTTTTAGAGAATATTTCTTCCCAGATTTGATACAAATCAGCTAAACCTCACCTCAAGCTTAGCTGACATATATAAAGTATCCTTTCAAAATTACCACCTACGAGGTTTCCATATCTTGTGCTTGAAATGAAAATAAGAACAAGGCTGTAACATTAAAACGGCAAATTTGGAAAAATGTGGTTTTCCCGAAGGGGAGAAATAATTATGTGGAAGGTGTAGTAATAATTTCTACATCTGTTTATTTTTGGGAAAATATAAGGGAAGATCTGATATACAGTTTGATTGAAATATTGCTTTTGTGTTTGTAAATTTTAGATCAAAATGTTCTTTGCTCTTGGTCCAGTGGCAACTGTTGGTCACATGACCAGTCCACTGAGGTACCTGTCAACCTTTCTCCCGGAAATTGAGGTAAGTGTTAGTAGTTGGTGTTCTTTTTTTCATTAAAAAAATACAGTTTTCTTTCATAAAAAAAATGGTTACCTTGCTAACCAGAAGGAAAGTCTTCAATTGTGATTTTAAAATGAGCTATAGGCCTATTTATATATATTGATAGGACCGAGGATGAGTGTTTTTGTGTTACTGGTTTCTTTCAATGGTTAACAATCATTATCGTTTCGGTTTGCGGTAACACCACGTGGTAATAACTACTGCTTAGAAGATATTTAGTTCTGAAAAGAACTTGTCCCGCTTATTATCAACTTTCGCTAAGTAGTTTTTTGTTCTGATCAGTACAGTTCTGCTGTAAGTTCTTAAAGAACTTGTCTTTGGTCTCAACGTTTTGACTAGCCTGCTCTAGTCATCGTTCACAATGCCCAGGGCTCACAGCCAACTGACACACTCAAGCGAGTAGGGCATCCCACTCTAACACAGTGCCCAACAGAAAACCAATCAGAATCCACCAATACAAGCACTTCCAATCCTAACACAGCCTACTTAAGAAGTAGCATCTCCAACTCTCCTCAGTCTCCTGACGATGACTAAAGCAGGCTAGTCGAAACGTTGAGACCAAAGACACGTTCTTTTAGAACTTACAGCAGGACTGTTCTTATCAGAACAAAAAACTAATAGCCAAAGTTGATAATAAGCAGGACAAGTTCTTTTCAGAACTAGTATCTTCTAAGCAGTTTGTTATTACCACATGGTGTTACCGCAAACCGAAACGATACCGATACTCCACCATGCAAAGCCTCAAATCATATATGAGGTTAACAATCAGGTTTTATTCTTTAATGGAATGGACAGTTTCTGCTGAACATACTGGGAGTCAGAGATTTTTTGCCGTCGTCTAAGATTACCGAGTGGCTAGCTGCCGATCTCTGCACGGGCGCCGATGTGTGGTGTGAGAACATCGTCTTCGTTCTCTGCGGATTTGACAGGTCCAATCTGAATGAGGTATTTGTTTTGCTAAACTGTTGGTCAGTCTGTCTGAGTCGCTGTGTCACTTTTTTCGTATTGGTCTGTGTTCCTTCGTCAATGGCTTTACTTTAATTGTTTTTAATCAATCATGATTAGAAAACCAAAGACTTTAGGGGCACTGCGTCCCGGAATGAGCCCGATTGGGCTACGAAACACACTTTGAATGAAATGCTGCTAATTGCAAAGAACATTTAAAAGTAGGACGTCAACATCCACACCACTATACTTAAAAAACTGGGCGTTTTTTGTGTTATTCTTGTGTCACGTGTGCGAGAATGACTTTCAGGGTCCACTTTTTCGACCTGAAAAATTCAACTGTTCGTGCTACCATTAGTTGTGATTCCAGCCATTAGGTGTTCGCCTTTTGTGGACATGTAAGAAACCACAAGTTGGATTTTTGGGTAAAAAATTAGTATTTTTTTATGACCGCGGATATGGAAAATGTTTTAAATTTGAGTCATTTGGACAAAAAAAATAAAATGTTTGTTTTCTCCCTGCATTCTGACTGTAGTGAGCTGAAATCTCTAGGGGATTCATTTCTGGCCTCTACCAACCTTGTGTGAGCATTTGACTTAATTTCGTGAAGGTGGATTATTGGGCAAAGAAATAAGCATTTTTGGTGACCGCCGATATACAAAACTTTTAAGATTTGGGACATTTGGGTAAAAAACTAAAATGTTTGGTTTCTCCCTAGATCCTGTGAGCTGAAATCTCTTGGGAATTCATTTCTGGCCTCTACTTATCTTGTGTGAACATTTGACTTAATTTCGTGTGGTTGGATTTTTGGGTCAAAAATCAGTATTTTTGATGACCGTGGATATGGAAAACTTTTTAGATTTGGGACATTTGGGTAAAAAACTACAATGTTTGTTTTCTCCCTGGATCATGACTGTAGTAAGCTGAAATCTCTCGGGATTTCATTTCTGGCCTCTACTCACCTTGAGTAAACATTTGACTTAATTTCTTGAAGTTGGATTTTTGGGCCAAACATCAGTATTTTTGATGACTGCGGATATGGAAAACTTTTTAGATTGGGGACATTTGGGTAAAAAACTAAAATGTGTGTTTTCCCTCTGAATTCTGACTGAAGTGAGCTGAAATCTATGGGGAATCCACTTCTGGCCTCAACCGACCTTGTGTGAATATTTGACTTAATTTTGTGAGGTTTGATTTTTGGGTCAAAAATCTGTTTTGTTTTTGTTGACCGGGGATATGGAAAACTTTTCAAATTTGGGACATTTGGGTAAAAAACAAAAATGGTTGTTTTCTCCCTGGATCATGACTGTAGGCGGCTGAAATCTTTCGGGGATTCATTTCTGGCCTCTACCCACCTTGTGTGAACATTTGACTTAAAGGGAATGTACATTATTGGTTTTTGCTGTAATTTTCAGAAATGAACTACTTGGGGGGTTAGTATAATAGATCAAATATTGTTACACTGACATTTTTGAAGTTTTGTGTTCGAAAATGCTGGAAAAACCAAGAAAAACAAAAATGTTTTCAAGTGGTCGGGTCTCCTGACTCCACTAAAGATGAAATGGATCCAAAATGCCCGAAAATTGTAAGGTAAGGGAACCAGTCTATAGCTGGTCTGCATCCGCTCATGAATAAGGAACCAATAGCAAACAAAATTTGGACTGAAAAAAAAGGTAAATTTGGAGCATTAGTTGAAAAGTAGTAAGGAAATGTATACAAAAGTACCATTTTCTTGAAAATTATTTCACACCAGGTGCCCTAATTTTACAGGATGCTTAAGACTGTCATTTACCAACATCCTAGTAAGGTATTGCGTAACACTTTGGTAGTTTTTTTTCTCGATGGTTGGGTCAAAAATCAGGTTTTTTGATGACAGCGGATATGGAAAACTTTTCAGAATTGGAACATTTTGGAAAAAAACTAAAATGTTTGTTTTCTCCCTGGATCATGACTGTAGGGTGCTGAAATCTCTCGGGAATTTATTTCTGGCCTCTACCCACCTTGTGTGAACATTTGACTTAATTTTGTGAAGTTGGATTTTTGGGTCACAAATCAGTGTTTTTGATGACCGCGGATATGAAAACTTTTCAGATTTGAGACATTTTGGTAAAAAACTAAATTGTATGTTTTCTCCCTGGATCCTATCGGTAGGGAGCTGAAATCTCTCGGGGTTTCATTTATGGCCTCTACCAAGCTTGTGTAAACATTTGACTTAATTTTGTGAAGTTAGATTTTTTGGTCAAAAATCAGTTTTTTTGATGACCGCGGATATGGAAATTTTTTCAGATTTGAGACATTTGGGTAAAAAACTAAATTGTTTGTTTTCTCCCTGGATCATGACTGTAGTGAGCTGAAATCTCCCAGGAATTCATTTCTGGCCTCTACCCACCTTGTGTGAACATTTGACTTAATTTTGTGAAGTTGGATTTTTGGGTCAAAAATCAGTTTTTTTTATGACCGCGGATATGGAAAACATTTCAGATTTGAGACATTTTGGTAAAAAACTAAAATGTTTGTTTTCTCCCTGGATCCTGACTGTAGGGAGCTGAAATCTCTCGGGGATTCATTTGTGGCCTCTACCCACCTTGTGTGAACATTTGACTTAATTTCGTGAAGTTGGATTTTTTAGTCAAAATCTGTTTTTTTTATGACCGCGGATATGGAAAACATTTCAGATTTGAGACATTTGGGTAAAAAACTAAATTGTTTGTTTTCTCCCTGGATCCTGACTGTAGTTAGATCAAATCTCCCAGGAATTGATTTCTGGCCTCTACCCACCTTGTGTGAACATTTGACTTAATTTCGTGAAGTTGGATTTTTTGGTCAAAAATCAGGTTTTTTGATGACCGCGGATATGGAAATCTTTTCAGATTTGAGACATTTTGGTAAAAATCTAAAATGTTTGTTTTCTCCCTGGATCATGACTGTAGTGAGCTGAAATCTCCCAGGAATTCATATACGGCCTCAACTTAGCTTGTGTGAACATTTGACTTAATTTCCTTGAAGTTGGATTTTTGGGTCAAAAATCAGTTTTTTTTATGACCGCGGATGTGGAAAACGTTTCAGAATTTGAAAATTTGGGAAAATAACTAAAATGTTTGTTTTCTCCCTGGATCCTGACTGTAGGAAGCTGTATTCTCTCGGGATAACATTTCTGGCCTCTACCCACCTTGTGCGAATATTTGACTTAATTTCGTGAAGTTGGATTTTTTAGTTAAAAATCAGTTTTGAGCAATTTTTGTGGAGTTGGATTTTGGGTAAAAAACTGACTTATTCGATGATGCCATCTATGGAAAACGTTGAAGTTTTGGGGGCATTTTGTAAAAAGCCAAAAAGTTTTGTTTTCTCTCTAGATACTGAATGTAATGAGTTGAACTCTTCAGGGAATTCAATTCTGGCCTCTAGGCACCTCGTGTAAACTTTTGAGCAATTTTTGTCGAGTAGGATTTTTGGGTCAAAAACTGACTTTTTCGATGATGCCGGCTATGGAAAACATGAAGTTTTGGGGACATTTTGTAAAAAGCCAAAAAGTGTTGTTTCTCACTGGATACTGAATGTAATGAGTTGAACTCTTCAGGGAATTCAATTGTGGCCTCTAGGCACCTCGTGTAAACTTTTGAGCAATTTTTGTCAATCTGGATTTTTGGGTCAAAAACTGACTTTTTCGATGATGCCGGCTATGGAAAACATTGAAGTTTTGGGGACATTTTGTAAAAAGCCAAAAAGTGTTGTTTCTCACTGGATACTGAATGTAATGAGTTGAACTCTTCAGGGAATTCAATTCTGGCCTCTAGGCACCTCGTGTAAACTTTTGAGCAATTTTTGTCAATCTGGATTTTTGGGTCAAAAACTGACTTTTTCGATGATGCCGGCTATGGAAAACATTGAAGTTTTGGGGACATTTTGTAAAAACCCAAAAAGTTTTGTTTCTCACTGGATACTGAATGTAATGAGTTGAACTCTTCAGGGAATTCAATTCTGGCCTCTAGGCACCTCGTGTAAACTTTTGAGCAATTTTTGTCAATCTGTATTTTGGGTCAAAAACTGACTTTTTCGATGATGCCGGCTATGGAAAACATTGAAGTTTTGGGGACATTTTGTAAAAAGCCAAAAAGTGTTGTTTCTCACTGGATACTGAATGTAATGAGTTGAACTCTTCAGGGAATTCAATTCTGGCGTCTAGGCACCTCGTGTAAACTTTTGAGTAATTTTTGTTGATCTTGATTTTTGGGTCCAAAACTGACTTTTTCGATGATGCCAGCTATGGAAAACGTTGAAGCTTTGGGGGCATTTTGTAAAAAGCCAAAAAGTTTTGTTTCTCACTGGATACTGAAAGTAATGAGTTGAACTCTTCAGGGAATTCAATTCTGGCCTCTAGGCACCTCGTGTAAACTTTTTAGCAATTTTTGTCGATCTTGATTTTTGGGTCAAAAACTGACTTTTTCGATGATGCCGGCTATGGAAAACGTTGAAGTTTTTGGGGCATTTTGTAAAAAGCCAACAAGTTTTGTTTCTCACCGGATACTGAATGTAATGAGTTGAACTCTTCAGGGAATTCAATTCTGGCCTCTAGGCACCTCGTGTAAACTTTTGAGCAATTTTTGTCAATCTGGATTTTTGGGTCAAAAACTGACTTTTTCGATGATGCCGGCTATGGAAAACATTGAAGTTTTAGGGACATTTTGTAAAAAGCCAAAAAGTTTTGTTTCTCACCGGATACTGAATGTAATGAGTTGAACTCTTCAGGGAATTCAATTCTGGCCTCTAGGCACCTCGTGTAAACTTTTGAGCAATTTTCGTCGAGTTTCATTTTTGGGTCAAAAACTGACTTTTTCGATGATGCCGGCTATGGAAAACATTGAAGTTTTAGGGACATTTTGTAAAAAGCCAAAAAGTTTTGTTTCTCACCGGATACTGAATGTAATGAGTTGAACTCTTCAGGGAATTCAATTCTGGCCTCTAGGCACCTCGTGTAAACTTTTGAGCAATTTTTGTTGATCTTGATTTTTTGGGTCCAAAACTGACTTTTTCGATGATGCCAGCTATGGAAAACGTTGAAGTTTTGGGGCATTTTGTAAAAAGCCAAAAAGTTTTGTTTCTCACCGGATACTGAATGTAATGAGTTGAACTCTTCAGGGAATTCAATTGTGGCCTCTAGGCACCTCGTGTAAACTTTTGAGCAATTTTCGTCGAGTTTGATTTTTGGGTCAAAAACTGACTTTTTCGATGATGCCGGCTATGGAAAACGTTGAAGTTTGGGGGCATTTTGTAAAAAGCCAAAAAGTGTTGTTTCTCACCGGATACTGAATGTAATGAGTTGAACTCTTCAGGGAATTCAATTCTGGCCTCTAGGCACCTCGTGTAAACTTTTGAGCAATTTTTGTCGATCTGGATTTTTGGGTCAAAAACTGACTTTTTCGATGATGCCGGCTATGGAAAACATTGAAGTTTTGGGGACATTTTGTAAAAAGCCAAAAAGTTTTGTTTCTCACTGGATACTGAATGTAATGAGTTGAACTCTTCAGGGAATTCAATTCTGGCCTCTAGGCACCTCGTGTAAACTTTTGAGCAATTTTGTCGATCTTGATTTTTGGTCAAAAACTGACTTTTTCGATGATGCCGGCTATGGAAAACGTTGAAGTTTTTGGGACATTTTGTAAAAAGCCAAAAAGTTTGTTTCTCACTGGATACTGAATGTAATGAGTTGAACTCTTCAGGGAATT